ATATCCTCCTTCATTACCCACAGCCTCCCTCCCTTCCTCCCCTCATGATCTCGTGACTAATTATTTTTACAGAGAAAAGGTCAAATATATCTTTACAATTCCAGGAATGTTACTTTCTTGTCCAGCAGACATTCAAATCCTTTCTATATTCATTGTTTTCTTTAAAAGTCAACATCTTTGTTTTTGTACCAGTTTCATATCCTGGCTCATTATGTTCTTATCTGACTCAAGAATCTCAAGGAGCTTAGGAGTCTTTCAGGGTTGTTTCGACCCTTCGCTCTCCACATCTCCCCCTTCTTTATTTATTAGATGACCGTGCCTGTCTTAGGTGAGATCTCAGGACAAAATCCCACCTTACCCGTCACTGGGAAGAGAATCTTCCCTGCCTTAGGTTGGTAAGGGATTCTCCTGGTCTCAAATCCGTCATTGACTAACCGGCCTCTTACTTAGGGGTGATCAATTTTTGATAATGTAATCGAACAGCCAATGTTGAGAACATGGATCGAACATACTGGCTGAATATGACGAAAAAAAGAAACATAAGCAGAAGTCTGCCAGCCAGTAGTCCAAGGCCTGTCACTATGTGTTTGGCAAAAAATGAGGAAGGCACCAACGTTTTCAAATGATCATAAAGGGACTGTGCCACCTGCGCAGGTGACAGGCTTGTTCTTCCTGCTTGTTGAATGCTCAATATCTGCTGATGGAGCTTTAATAGGTCGGAGGTTTCATTGCCATGTGACCATGCCCCTTTTAGATGGTCCTGGACCATCTGCCAGTTATAATCTGTTATATTATAAACTAGTGAAGTGACACAGATCCAATGATATTCTGCATGGCACTGTAAATGGTTTCTATGTTTGAGAGCCTCAAGGGAGTGTCCCAAATATATTACTGTGTCAAAAAGAGCATTCAATTTCTCTTCCATTTTTACATCAATGTCTTCTTGCAACTCTAAGCCTTGTGATACATTCAGTGAAAGATTATCTACAAAAGCTGCTGTTTGCACAGACTGAGATAAAGCAACTGCGGCAGTAGATAAGCTAGTCAGAAATGCTATAAAAGTGACAATTCCGGCTACAATCATGCCGGCCACCCTTTTTTCTCTTTTCAATAAACCATTTAGACTCTCCAATATTTGAAGTCCTTTTTCTGTATACCATGGTTCTGAAAGATTAACTGGCAACATTACAAAAGAGGGCTGATGAATTATTAAAACATTTTGATACCCGAATTTCACACAATTTGACAATGTACAATTATCACGTTACATTCAATTGATGAGTTCCACTTTCATAATCAATCTCAAAACCTCCCAATAACAGTAAGTAGGGCTGGGGCACACAAGCTGTGATGTTTCCCTCCAACCCAGAGTCTGGCCCCACACCAATCCTTTTTATTCCCCCCATGGCAACCATAAATTTCCATATCATGGGCTGAAAAGGGCCAGAAGGTACTCGCCAAAGTCCCACAGTCAACTGCTGTTCTGTGTTCGCCCCACCTTGACAATTGTCCAATTGGGCACTCCAATCCTGTAGCACTTCTTGTTGATCGGTGAAGTTATAGATGGCC